ATATATACACACATACACACACACAATTCAAAATTCCGTTATCCACTGTATGTGGAATCTAAAAAAATTCAGTCTCACAGAAGCAGAGTAGAATAGGAGACTGGGGAGTCTGTGGTCAAAGGATTCAAAATTTTGCTTAGTAGGATACTTTCAGTATATTGTATACCTGAAATTGGCTAAGAGATTAGATTTTAAATATTCTCACTACAAACATATGGTAAGTATATAAGGCAATACATACGCTAATGACCTGATTTAGCTAGTCCCTATCACCTATATGAAATCTATCAAAATATCATTTTGTGTATCATAAATACATGCAGTGATAAATTTGTCCATTCAAAAATTAAAATTCCTTTTACAAAATCCTAAAAAGAATTCCATTATCCAAAGGAAAAGAACACTTTTGTTTTGTTTTGTTTTTTGAGACAGGACCTTGCTGTGTAGTCCAGGCTGACCTCGAGCTCTCAGCAATCTTCCTGCCTCAGCCTCCATAGTGCTGGTTTTCCAGGCATGCACCACCACTCCTGACTTCCAAGGATAATTTTAAGCATGTTGTATTTCTTTCCCTTTCTTTTCTCTTTGCATGTGTCATCATGTAGGCACACTTAGAAATTGTGAGGAAAAAACAAAGAAGAAAGCGTGATTGTTCTGAAGACAGTTTTATAGACCCTGTGTTTTCCTTCCACTGAACAATTTCTCACATCATTAAGTAGCCTTTTGATGATGTGAGTTTTGGGTCCTCCAGGCCACCAGACAGAGGAGCCCTCTAATGTATTTCACGTTAGCTCCTTAGGTTATTTTCAGGTTTCTGACATAAGAAATGGTGCTGCGAGGCAACACTGGGGTCGTAGCAGTTGTGCAGAATCCTGCTTGAGCAGGACACACACGGCCCGGGCAGGGACCGTCCCTCTGCAGGCTTATTGTCACAGCCAAAACTGACCAGAAGAGCTGGCTGGATCGGTAATTCACCGCGGAAGGTTTCTATAAATGTGCTCATTAAACAGCTGAAGAGCCGGGCATGTGGTGCACGCTTATAATCCCAGCACTCAGGAGGCTGAGGCAGGAGGACTGACAGTTCAAGGCCAGCCTGAGTGCAGCTTAGTGGTAAAGCACTTACCTAGCATGCTCGAGACCCCAGATTCCATCCCCAGCACCCGGAAAAACAAACAAAACAGCCAAAGATGGAACAGAAGAAATAAAGGATTGAAAACAGTTGCTGGATTTGACAGTGGGAGTCTAAGTCACATATTTTTTTTTTTTGGTGGTGGTGCTGGGAACTGGTCGTCCAGGCTAGGTCAAATTGGTAATACTCCCCAGGGATTTGGCTCAGTGGTTCCGCCTCCTGCCTCATGTGTACACGGGCCTGAGTTTGATCCCCAATACAAAAAAAAAAAAAAAAATCAAATTAGTAATTCTCCTTCCCTAACCACCCAGAGTGCTGGGATCACACCACTATCAGTTCTGGCTCCCAGACTGCTATTTAATTTTTTTTTTGGCAGTACCGAGAATGGAACTCAGGACCTTGGGCTTGAGAGGCAGGCATGGGGCCACTGAGCTGAATCCCCAGCCCCTCTATTTAATTTTCTTTTAATATAGGGTCCCCATAAGTTGGCCATGCCCGCCTCAAACTTGTAATCCTCCTGTCTCAGCCTCCCAAGTAGCCAAGATAATGGCTGTGCACCACTGTGCCAGCTGTGGGTCACATGTGAAGTTGCACTGGTTGAAAATACACCCATTTTACAACTACTTCAAATGTCAGCCACATTTCCCAGGAAAGAAACAGACAGTAAATATCTTTGGCTTTGTAGACTACAAACTTCTGTGCTATAGTCTCTTGTTTAGTTTTTTGTTTGTTTTGTTTTTTGTGACAGGGTCTCCCTGTGTATGCCAGGCTGAACCTTGAACCGTGTGTATAGCACAGGCTGGTCTGGAACTTGCCGCGATCCTCCTGCCACAGCCTCCTGAGTGCTGGGACCGAAGGCCAGGCAAACAGGCATGTGCCAGATGTGGCTGTGGGCTGCAGTGTGCTGACTCACCTTGGCTGGGGACTTCAAGGCGTGCAGGTGGCTCGGTCGGCAGGGGACTGGTGGTGGGAGTCGGGGTGGTGGTGGGCAGGGTGGAGCTGGAGGTGCCAGGGCCCAGGTCAGTGCCCGCTGAAGCCTTGGTCACAGCTGTATCCTGCCCAGCGGAGTTGGGCTCGGGGGGCCTGCCTTCTGCCTTGGGTGGCAGCTGCTCCAGCTGCGAGGCGCCTTTGAGGGCATTATCTGCTGAAAAAACATGGTGGGGAGGGGCAGATAGGGTTAGGGTCACCGCCCCCACCTGCATCTCCCACCCTGTCTGGCTGGGTGAATTTTTTTTGCAGGGGGCAGTACTGGGATTGAACCTAGCTCTCCCTACCACTAAGCTAGATTCCCCCAGCCCCTTTTTAATTTCGTTATTATTATTTCCATATAGTTGCAGTACCGGGGATTGAATCTAGGGCCTTTGCACTGAGCTACATCGCCAGCCCTTTTTATTTATTTATTTTTGAGACAGAATCTCTCTAATTCACTAAGTTGACTAGGCCATGCTTGAACTTGTAATTGTCTCGCCTCAGCCTCCCACAGTGCCGAGGTTACAGGTGTGTGTCGCCACATTTGGCTTTGATTTTCGAGACAGAGTCTCACTAAATTGCCTGGGCTGGCCCTGGATTTAAGATCCTCCTGCCTCAGCCTCCCAGTGTGCTGGGATTACAGGAGTACACCACCTTGCCCAGCATCACTGGTGAATTTTTGTGGGCAAGTCCCCCAGCTTCAGCGGGCCTCAGATTCCACTTCCGCCTTGAGTGTCCTGAGGCCACCTGCCAGGCTCCTGTGTGACCAGAAAAGCACCTATTTAAATATTTGCACAGGTCCCAGCAAACCCATGGTGCCAAATTCCAGGTCCCTTCCTTTCCTAAGTGTCGAGCACTTCCTGCCAGTTCTCTCTGGCTCTAGATGAAATTCCAGGGAGCAGAGAACCCAGCTTCCAGTCACAGATGGCCTCCTGTCCCTCGGCAGTGTCTGCCCCTCAGGGAGGGAGGGGCAGGTATACCCAGCTGTCACATCTGTTCTCTGTCCCCTTGCCCAGCTGTGCCTACAGGGGCTGTGCTGGTGTCAGGGACATCTCTGCCCTGCCCCACTTGCTTACCTGGGCCTCGATAGGGGAAGCGGGAAGTCTTGATGCCACCCAGCCAGGGACAAAGGCCCCTCAGCTCTAGGGATGGCAGTGAAGGGCCCCAAGGTGGCTCTGCAGCCTGAGGACTCGGTTCCCTTCCCACTCTGCCACCAGCCACGCCATGTCTGAACTGTTCCATGCCCCCCGGATGTGGCTGCTGCCAGGGTAAATGCCACAGCATGAGAAAAAGTGCTCAGGAAAATCCCACCATCGGGAACAAAGCAATGATGCTGTTGTTACCAGGATGGCCCTCAGGGTCTGTCTGGTCAGCTGGGGAGGGGACAGAGAGCCCTTGGTTTGAAGACAATGACGTGACTTCTTCCTTTCTTCTCTCTTTGCCCTGTAGAGCTGCCCAGCCCCCGACACACAGGCCCCATCCCTCTGGTCAGGGGTGGCTACAGGGGCCGGGTGGCCTCGGCAACCTGCCAGGGCAAGGCCTTGTTCCCACACACTTCACTGGCAGAGTCAGACGCCCCAGCTGTTCCTGGGCAGTGGCCCAGCCAGGGGTCAGAGGTCCCGTGTGGTGGCCAGGCTGGGCTGGCAGGACTCAAGGACAGCAGCTGGCACAGCAGGCTGTGGGAGGAGGCCCCTGATCCTGGAGAGGCTGAGAAATAAGGGTGCTCTTGAAGGAGCCCGGACCCTGACTGTCCCCCACCACCACCCTTGGACCTTTCCCCCAGGCACCTTGCTGGACTAGGGCTCAGCAGGACTCAGGAAGGGGCAAGAGGTTTGGGACCACCCTCGGGGACATCTGAGGACAAAAGGTGTCTGGGGAGGGTCTCGGAGGGCAAGCAGGAGTCACACCAGTGGGGATGGCTCAGATTTGAGGACTTTCTGGGTGCAGTGTTGCACACCTGTAGTACCAGCACTAGGGAGGCTGAGGCAGGAAGATTGATGTGAGCTCAAGGCCAGCCTGGGCTACATAGTGAGACCCTGTCTCAAAAACCACAAAAAAAAACCAACCCACACACACACAAAAAAAAGGAGTCCAGTGACCATGAAGACAGTTTTAAATAATGGAAAAACACTAAATGGCCCCGGTGTTCTATGATTTCATGGCCAATGTCCCCAGAGGTGGGGTATTATGCCCAGCATGTGGCTGAGAAAAGGGCACCCAATCAGTGTGAGGAGCTATCCAGGGGCACCTGACTACCCATACCTAGGACCCCAGACTGCCCACTCACCGGCCATGGCCTCGGGTGCCTCCCGCCGGCCCGCCTTGTAGTAGGTGAAGCCCCGGATCACGGCCTGCTGCTGTGCCAGGGCACGGGGCCTGGCCGTGGGCAGGGGGAGCCGGCCCTTGCCACCCTCCTTCCTCAGCTTCTCAGCCTTCAGCAGCTTCTCCTTGGACGGTTTGGGGAGGCCTCTGTCTGCAAGGCTGCTCTGCACGCTGCTGTATTTGCTGGCACCCCTTCCTTTTCCTCCGGCCAGGTCCTGGGCGAGGTGGGAGGCCTCAGACTTGGGGAAGAGGAGAAAAAGCATTTTGGGGGCTATGGAGGCGTGGAAGGTGGCCGTGGTGCCCAGGGATGTATGAGGTCACAGCTTTCCTTGCCTCCTGGAGTGGCTACATCCGTGACTTGTGTGCCTCAGTTTCCCCACACAGCACTTGAACTCCATGGCCAGCCTGAGACCCAACTTGGTAGCATAGATAATTGTCCCGTTTCTCAGCTCCTGTCCACACCTCCCCCAGGGGTAAACAAGACTAGTAGCTCCCAAGGGAGGTGGCTTTTCCTGCCTGTGGACTCCCCCGCCTGGCCTCTCTCACTGGTCTTAGTGGGTAGCGGGAGGGACTCTCGGTCCCTGTGCAGGGAGGCCAATTCGTCCTTTGGTGTGGGAACTCTCCAGTTTCAGTCCCGAAAGTTCTGCTTTCTGGGAAGCTATTCCCAGCCATGCTGAGGTGGCTGGTCACTCTACCCCCAGGACATGCTGTTTCTGATTTGTTGTTCAAACAGAGTCTTGCTCTGTAGTTCAGGCTGGCCTTGAAGTCGCCATGTAGCCCAAGCTGCCATTTAACTTGTGGTGATCCTCCTGCCTCAGCCTCCCAAGAGCTGGGATCACAGGTGTGTGCTAGCACACCCAGCTATTTCTAACATTGTATGAGTTGTGTTGTTTTCACTTCCTACTCAGAGGTCTCTGATGCCGGCTCGGCACAAGAACACAGGACGGAAGCTCCAGCAGATCCGGACACTTTCTGACACTGCCAAGGCGGGACTCATTTGCGCCTGCACATCTGGCACCGGAATGAGCAGGAAGCCAACTCGGGCCAGGGCACGGGCTTCCTCTGCTTTCCCAGCGGCCCACATCGCGTGCTGGCACAGGAGGCGGCAGGGAGGAAGGGCTGGTCCCGCAGCCCGGCCCACAGCCCCTCTGCCAGGCAGGGCCAGTCCTCCCTCAGGGGGCTGCAGAGTAACGGATAAGCCTGCCGTTGGGAACCCAACAAATGTCGCCTCCCTCCTCCCGCCACCCACCAAAACCCAAGGCCAGCAGGCTGTGTCATGTCAACGGAGGCCTGAAAGTCATCTGCACCAGCTTTGCCAAGCCACACCCCGGCACACGCCCCCTGAGGGCGGAGCCTTTGTATGCTTTGTCCACCCACAGGCGGCTCCTGTTTCCCACCGATCGAGGTATCTGCCACAGTGGGGCCTCCCCAGGCTTGCAGTCGGGCCCCTCTGCCCCTGCGAGCTCCGAGCTTGGGGGTGGGGTGTCGGGGCGTCTGCTGCAGGATCCCCCTACCCTGGCAGGGACGGATGGACGTGAGTCCCCGAGCAGGTGTGAGCCAGCCAGGGACACGGCCACAGTGGGGGCTTTGCCCTGGTTCCCAAGGCTGGGCGGGTCCGTCATCTCCACAGTCCGGTCCCTAGCAGACAGAGACCTGGAACAGGGCCGGTCCCTGCCCTGGCCGCCCTCAGCTCTGCCTCCAGCCTCCAAAACACCGTACGCTGCCCTGAGGCCGAGTCCTTGGCACCCTGTGTCCCTAAGCCCAGCCACCTCCCATGGTGACGGGAGCCAGGATCTCACCTGAGCCCTGCTGCCCAGGCCCGGGGCTGCGTCCCTCTGCAGCAGCTGCAGGCCCAGGCTGGACAGCTCCTTCTGCAGGCTCAGCACGGTGGCAGAGTGGTTCTCGTAGCTCCTGAGCTGCTCACTGAGGTGGCGCACGCTCTCCTTCACCACCTCGTTCTCCCGGCTCAGGTTGGCCTTGACGCTCTGCAGGGTGAGAGTCCAGGAGGGCCCGTCACCCCAGAGGGACGCCCCATCCTGGCCATGAGGCCTCACTGCCTGTGTCCTGAGCAGGGCTGCAGGGCATGGGCTGTGGTGACCCCAGTGAGCATGGGTGGAATAAAGCCTGCACCATGACTTTCTTTCTTTTCTTTTTTTTCTTTTTTGGTACCAGGGATCAAACTCAGGACCTTGCACTTGCAAGGCAGGTGGTGACCCCACTGAGCTAACTCCCTGGCAATTATCCATTTTTCTTGAGTCAGGGTTTCGCTATGTAGTCCAGCTGGCTGAAACTCATGGCAGTCCTCCTGCCTCGGCCTCCTGAGTGCTAGGATTACAGGTTGAATTTTTAATCTAACAAGGGAAGGGATCTAAAAAGTTATGTTGTTTTCTTGCCTTTGTTTACATGTCAGTGCTGACAAGTGTTTTGAGTTTCTTGCATATCCTTTGAAAGAATCTGAGAACCACGGGTAGATGAGAAGACAGCAAGGAAGCTGGGACTGTAAAACGCTGCCTGATCCTAGAGTGGGGGGTTCCCTTGGCGAAAGACAGCAGCCCCTTGGAGAGACTGTTCCCCGGCCTCCTCCCAGGTTAACAAAGGAGCTCCTTCCCCAGGGGGCTGTGGCTTAGTAAGCTGAGGTTAACAAAAACAGCACAGATCATGCAAAAGCAGTCAATCAGACAAGCGTCTCTCTGTGTGTGGAAATCATTTCCGGTGTGTCCCACGCTTGGCAAAGGCACCCCCAGCTCGCCTGGCCCAGAGTTGCAGGAAGCAAGATTACAAGGAGGAAAGGCCAGCCTGGCAGTGCTGCTACAAAGGAGGTGAGTGCACAGAAGAAATCCCACAACCAGCAGCCTTGCCTGGGCCACCAAATCTTTAGAGCCCACGGTGACCCCAGCCTGGGGATTTAGAACAGATTAACCTTCCATCCTGGGGCACAGGATGCCCGGGTGCCCCCTCTCTGGAAAGGAAGCTGGGAAAGGAAGCCCCACGCCTGGGCCTGGCAGCTGCAGGTCTCCAGGCCCCCAGCAGAGCAGCAGAGGCCGGAAGCAGGAAATAGGTGGAGATGCACGCCTTGACCCTGCGGCGAGGACCTGCAGCCCGCCCACTCTGTCCCTGTGCCCAGCCCTACACCACATTTGTCCTGAGCAGGGCAGCGGCTCTGTTCCCCTGCAGTCAGGCTGTCCTGGTGAACTTGGCCAGCCCTGTCATCTTGCACCAGTGCTGGGGCACCACTGGCACGGTATCTTCTGTTTTAAAAATTTTGTTTTTTTGAGACAGGGTCTCACTATGTAGCCCAGGCTGGCCCTGAACCTGCAGCAATCCTCCTGCCTCAGCCTTTGGAGGGCTGGGATTACAGACATCCGCCGCCACAACCAGCTCAAGGTATCTTCTGTGAATTGTCCCCCCCAGAGCCATGTAAGTGGACCCTGTTCTTGGCATACTGAAGACAACCACAAGTTCCAGCCCCTTCTGCGTCCCTTTCGTACAACTGGCAAGTGCCTCAATTTCCCGACCCAGCTGCCCAGCTTCCCACAGGCCCAGGAGCCCATGAGAACTCTTCCCAAAGCCTGGACCTCGTGGCCTGCCCCCCACCCCCACTTCCAAAGGCCACAGATGTCAAGCTGGAACTGTCCCAGCCTTACCTCCTCCAGCGTGCTCATCTGGGAGGCCACCTTGTGGACGTACGCGTGCACTTTCATCAGGTCCACGCTGTACAGGGCACCTTCCAGGAGGTCCGCCATGGACTGCAGCTGCGAGACAGGAAGTTTAGGTGAGGACATGGCTGGGGCAGCGGAGGCTGTACAAGGAGCTCTGAATCCAGGACCCCAGACCCCAGAGCGACCTGCTCGGGCATTGGCACTCGTCAGCCCCACCCTCCTCGTAATCACCAGAAACGTGGCAGCTTCTAGCTTTTGAGCATTTACTATGTGCCAGGTGCTGCGATAGGGGCTTTGGCAAGTTCTGCTATGTTGGCCTCATGACAGCTCCACTCTGGGTGCAGTGGGCATCGGGGCTCATTCCCCCTACTGAGACCCTTTTTCCTGCTTCCTGTGCTCACCCCTGCCTTCCCCATGACTATTTATTTGTTAGCTACTTTGTTTTGGAGAACCCAGGGGATCACAGGCTAATCTAGTGCTCTGCCACTGAGATAGACCCAGAGCCCCAGAGACCTCCTTTTACATTTGTTTTTTTTGAGATGGGGTCTTGTTGTGCAGTACAGGCTGGGCTTGAACTCACTAGGTAGCTCAGGATGGCCTTGAACTCGAAGCAATCATCCTGCCTCAGCCTTCGGAGTGCTGGGATTACAGGTGTACATCATCGTTTTTTTTTTTTTTTTTTTTTTTTTTTTTTTTTACCAGGGATGGAACTCAGGACCTTGTGCTTTTGAGGCAGGCACAGTGCCACGGAGCAAAATCCCTAGCCCTCAGGTGTGCAGCTCTAAAAATTTATCTTTTACTGATAAATAATCGTTGCACATATTTATGTGGTACTGTATTACATTTCAATACATGTATATGCGTGTAAGTGTCAGATCAGGGACTTATCTGTCATTACCACCAGTTACAATTTCTTTGAGTTCAGAACACTCAAAATCCTCTCTACTGGCGATTCTGAAACACGTAACTGCTGGTATGGTTTTGGATGCCTGAAATCCCAGCACTCAGGAGGCTGAGGCAGGAGGACCGCTGTGAGTTCGCGGCCAGCCAAATAGTAAGACCCTGTCTCCAAAACAAACAACAAACAAGCCCAGATCCCTGACCAGTGGGGACAGCCACCCCACACTGCAGCTGCTGGGGACGGGGATGGCTGATGCTCCACCCTTCCTGGCCTCCTCCCTTTGCTTCTTCAGGCTTCTCTGGGGAGCCCTAGAATATCCTCCACTTGCTCTGGGGCCTGCTTCTAGTGAAGCAGCCGAAGTGAAGCTCAGCCTAAGCTTTGATCCTGGTATAGGGGGAAGGTGCTGCTCAGAGGTGAAATACTTAGCCAGGGCCACCCGGCTGCCAGGGAGCGGAGCCAGGAGTCGAGTCCGGATCAGTGTAAACCCAGCCTCTCCTGTCCCACCTCACTGCACCTGTCTTGTGTCCCAGTGGAAACAGAGGCTGGGTAGGGGGGCTGCACACCAGGTCAGTGGCAGGCCCAGAGCAATGCCCGGCCTCCTGTTCATCCCAGGGCCCTGCCCCGCAGCTGCCACCTCCCCTCCCTGTCACACCTCATCAGGATGTGACACTCCCTCCAGATGGCCAGGATGCCAGCGTGGTGTCAGGGAAACCTTGGCACAAGAGGCCGGTCGGGAAGCTGGCCCCACCAGCTTCTGGGGAGGCGGCGCCTGTGGCCCCATCGAGTCTGCAGCCCTGCTCCTGTCTGGCTGGACAGCTGCTCCCAAATGGCTCTACTCCCACTGTTCCAGGGACTTCCACGCTGCTCTATCCAGGGGGCTTTTCTCCAAGTGGAATCTGCTGTTTCCAAAACAGAAAAGGAGGGGAAGGCACTACAGAAGCAGGTCCAGGGCCAGAGTCTGCTCTGCTCCTCTACAAACATGCCTGAGCCCCGAGGGGCTCCACGGTACCCTAGGGCTCTGTGGAGCGCAGCGTGAGAACTGGGCAGTTTCTTTGCCTGTGAAATAGAGCAACTGGGCTGTGGGAAGGGATGGGAACAGCAGGAAGAGCCGAGCACAAAGAGCACACAGAAAGGGCTTCCAAGCACCAGCAACGCTGGCTACCGTGTCGGGGGCTCCCAGGAAGCTCCCCGGTTTGTCTGCTGCCTTCAAGGCCACTGAAACTAGCCTTGAGCTGGGTGTGGTGGCGCACACTTATAATCCCAGCACTGGGGAGGCTGAGGCAGGAGGATTGCTGTGAGTTGGAGGCCAGCCTTGGCTACATAACAAGACTTTGTCTTAAGAAAAAATAATTTCATCACATGTGAACATGGGAGTAGCTTTTCTGCCTGGTGCATGCTAGGCAAGAACTCTACCACTGAGCTACCCCCCCCATTTGGTATTATTATTATTATTATTATTTGTAGTGCTAGGAATTGAACTCAGAGCCTTCAAACTGAGCTATACCCCAGTCCATCCCCCCCTTTTTGTTTTTGAGACAGGGTCTCACTATATAGTTCAGGCTGGCCTCCAACTCACAGCGATCTTCCTGCCTCAGCCTCCCGAGTTCTGGGATCACAAGCATGTGCCACCACACCCGGCTGTCCCAGTCCCTCTTAAAATTCTTTTATTATTTTTGACAGAGCGTCTAGATAAGTTACTAAGTTGCTCAGGCTGGGGTCAAATTTGTGATCCTCCTGCCTCAGCCTTCCAGGGTGCTGGGATCACTTTTGGGTACCATCATGCCTGGCTAGAAAGATTTATAGCCACTTGTCAGAGCAATGCTATATGTGTTGACTCTCATAATAAGACACTGGATTTATATTGTAGCATGTCTGCTTTTGTTTCAGCTCATTTTTCCCCTAATAATTCACTTGAATAGTACTTTACAAAAGTATTAGTCCTTGGCTGATATTTTAATTTTTAAAAAATCTGGTCTTAAAAAAACAAAACAAACAAACAAAAAACTGGTCTTTCACAGCAGATAGTTTGAAAAGCAATGGGTAGAAGGAAGCAACAAGTGGCCAGGAGGACTGGGACAGAGAGACAGCAGGGAGGCATCCTTTAGCACACCCACTGCAACAGCCCATGTCCAGGACACTACTTCTCTGCCTGAGGAACTCCTACACATCCCACATGGCCCAGCTCTGACCTTGCCCCTCCTGAAGCTCCCACAGTCCCAGGACATCCCCTGGCTCATTAGACGTATCAGCAGCTACGCTCTCCAAGTCTGGTGACTCCTCCAGAGTGGGACCATGACATCTAGGCAATGTCCAGAAGGCAAAGGAGGAGAGGTGACAGGCATGCTGCTTACAACGCCTCTGGTGGGTGAGCAGATGCAGCAGAGAACTCTGGGTTCAAATCTCAGTGTTGCCAGTTTCCAGCTGTGCAACCTTTGGCAAGTCACAACCCCTCTCTGGGCCTCCCGTTCCCTCCCAAGGTGTCAGAGCAAGGATTAAATGAGCGAGCGCTCGTGAAAAGGGCTCTGTGTGTCGTCCTGTGAAGCCGCTTTACCGTTCAGTTACTAAAATGTGACTTGAGCAGAAACTGCCTTTGTCCCTGTCCCTGAAGACCCTCCTGTGGCCTGGGTGCCTGGAGTCGGCCAGGCAGGGCCCAGGGAGACCCCGGGGAGATGGGCGTGGTTCGGATTGCCAGGCTGTCAGGAGCCCACTCAGCCTGACCCTCAGTTACCCTCCAGTTTTGTGAATGTTGGCATCCACATGGGTGTTACGAAAAGAAAACTAAAGGTAAATTTAAAGAAAGTGTCTTTTGCTGAAGGCTGGGTGACGGCTCTTCAGGGGCCTCCCGCTTTTCTGCATGGGCTACACATAGGGACCTGACTCTTGCTCCGAGCCGCCTGGGTGTCTCAGAGCAGCCCTGGAAATGCTGAGAAATCCAGGCTCCTCCCTGTCTGCACACGCACACTGTGTGTCCGGCACTTACCTGGGCCTCACCCACCGCCCAGTGAGAAAACAAGATCTGCCCGTACATATCTATAATCCCAGCACTCACAGCACTTGGGAGGCCGAGGCAGGAGAATCGCTAAGAGTTTGGGGCCAGCCTGGGCTACACAGTGAGTTCAAGGCCAGCCTTGAGACCATCTCAAAAAACAAAACAAAACAACAACAAAAAACCAGATTTTCAGTGAGTACTAAAGTGCCCTGCCTTGGATCCAGAAGGATCGTGTCTTCTGCCAGGCTAAAGTGTGAGCAAGGAGGGTAACATCTGAAACTGTTCAGGGTTTGACACCAAATAAGCAAAATAGACACGTTTGGGAGAAATTATATATATAAAAAAAACTTTCAAAAGACAGCAATTAGAGCTGGGTGTGGTGGCACATGCCTGTAATGCCAGCACTCTGGGAGGCTGAGGCAGGAAGACTGCCAAGTTTGAGCTCAGCCTGACAATTTAGGGACTTAGCAAGACCCTGTCTCTGAGTAATAATAAAAAAAGGCTGGGCCAGGGATTTAGCTCAGTGGTTCCACTGCCTGCCTCACAAGTACAAGGTCCCAAGTTTGATCCCTGGTACGAAAAACAAACAAAAAAAAAGGCTATGGATGTAGCTCAGTGCAAAGAGCCTAGATTCAATGCCCAGTACTGAAAAAAAAAATCTCATCTTTTCCAGGAAGGAAGACAGATGAGCAAGTGTTTAGACGCATACTGGACATGTGCCCAAGCCAGCATGGTTGGAATGGCACAGAAGCCCCTGGCTGGCCTCAAGTGCTCGGGCCTCACTAAGAGCACTGGGTCTCGGGTGTGCTCAGCCTGGGTTTGTTCCCCACAAGCGGTACCTTCTTGTAATCTGCTTATTTGGCTGAATGATTCAAATTCACACAGAAAGTGGAGAATGAAGTGGTGGTGCACACCTGTAATCTCAGCACTCTGGAGGCTGAGGCAGGAGGATCTCAGTGAGTTGGAGGCCAGCTTGGGCCGTAGTGAAACCTTCACTCAAAAAACCAAAAACCCAAAACCAAATCCAAAGCTTCGTATCTGTTATCAGACATGCTTGAGTGTTTAGGGTTTAGGACTGTAATTTAGATTTTTAAATATATGCACATAGATAATGAGATATCTTGGAGATGGGACTGAAGTAAACAAGTTCATAGATGTGTCACAGTCACAGCTGAAGGTAATTTTATGCAATATTCTAAATAATTTTGTGTATGAGGCAAACTTTCAGGGTGTGGAATTTTCTACTTGTGGTGTCATGTTGTTGCCTAAAATAGTTCCAATTTTCAGATCAGGGACGTTCAACCTGTACAGACTCGAGGCTGGCTGCAGGCTGGCTGTTCGGTGAGTTCGGGCAAGTTACCTAAATCCTCTAAACCGTGGTGTTCCAGCTATGAAACGAGGATGCAGAGCCCCAGTGTTTAAGCCCTAGTTACCTAAATCCTCTAAACCGTGGTGTTCCAGCTATGAAACGAGGATGCAGAGCCCCAGTGTCACAGAAAGGTTTAAGGATTCACTGCCAGTTCCATGCTGTTAAACGGTTTAAGGGTGCAGAGAGACGATGTATGAAAAGAGTTCAGCACAGCACATGGCGCCAGAGCGTACCTGAACACAGGGAACGTTAGCATCATGCTAACAATAGAAGGGCTGGGCCTGGTCATGGTAGCTCCTCCAGAGGCTGAGGCAGGAGGATCTCAAGTTTGAGGGGACTTAAGACCCTGGGGCTGTAGCTTAGTGGTGAAGCACTCTTGGGTCCCATCAGAGGACAGGGGAGGGGAGAAGGGGAGGAGGAAAAAAGAAGAAAGAGGACGAGGAGGAGAGGGAAAAAGGAGGGGAGGAGGGAGAGGAGGACAGAAGGGGAGAAAAGAACAAAACTGAAAAGTACAGATAGGTGCTGACAGATGAACCGGTTTGGGTAGATCCAGGAGAGATTCTTCTTCCGGACAGGACGGGCGCCAGAAATCCCGCCTCCCCTTCACGGCTGCCCTTGCTCCGCGTGCCTCAGTCTCCCCGCCTTGCGACACCTGCCTCCTAACCCCAGCGGGACTCGGTCCCCAGAGGGCGGCCTCCCCGCCTACCTTGAGCAGCTCAGGCGCCTGCTTCCTGAGCTTCTCCATCTTCCACTCGCGCTCGCAGGGGTTGAGCGCGGCGGGCGGCGCGGTGCAGGA